TCATTTGAATATCTGATAACATTCTCCAGTGAAACCATCTGGGGCTGGAGATTTGTTTTTGAGGAGCTTCTTAATTACGAATTTGGTTTCCCTAATGGCTATAGGACTACTCAGGTTATCTACTTCATCTTGACTGAGCTTTGCTGCTCCATGGTTTTCAAGGGATTGCTCCGTGCCCAGCTGTCAGATATATGGGCATAAACGTTTTTTTGTAGTGTTTTCTTATCATTTTTGTAACAGCTCCAGGATCTCATTTCTGATATTGGCAACTTCTGTATTTTCCTCTCTCTCTCAGTTTTTTGGGTTTTTTTGTTTTGTTTTTTGGTTTTTGCTGCTTTTCAAAGGACCAGCCTCTCATTTCAGTAGCTCTCTCTCCTGTTTTCAGTTCTGTTTATTCCCCCTTGATCTGGACCCTTCCCTTGTTTCTCTGGTCTCTTGAGGTAGAGCCTCAACGCTTGGCAGGGCCACCCCTCCTCTCTAGCAGGGCACCCAGCGCTCCCTGTCCCCCGTGGCTCTGCCCGGTGCACCCTGCAAGTGCGTTTCATCTCACTCGACCCACAGGTCATGGAAGTGTGCTGCATGACCTCTCGTGTCTCTCTGAGGTTCCTGAGTCACTGTGATGTGTGCCGCCATCTGTTTTCAGACCCGAGACGCTCCGGGCCGTCTTGCGTTTCCCTCCGGGAGGTGATGGACCCTTGTCATGACGAGGTGCGATGCTACCATCTCACAGAAACGATACTCAGCTCCCCGTGTCCTGAGGGAGTAGCATTTCCACTCCCTGTTTTATAATTCTGTTGCATTGTGCACATCTCGTCTGTTGAGATCAGGACTTGAGGACCCACACCTTGCAGTGGGTTAATCTCTGGATTCCTCCTGTTTCTTCACTTATGGGATTGTCTTCAGTGCCCTCGCAAAAGGTGATCTTGCACTTGGTGGGCATCCCCTCATGCTTATGCAAGCCTCACCACCCCCTGCAGTTGGGGGGCTCGGGAGGGGACCGCCAACGGGGAGCTCTTGTCTCTACTTTCGGGGGGCAGTTCCCTACTCAGGGCATCTCACGAGAGGAGTGTCACAAAGCACCTGCCAGCTGGGACGCCGCAGGCTTGAGGGGCGGCCAGATGCATTTAATAAGCCCCCTTGGAGCCAAGCGTCGTGGAAGCACCGCACACTTCTCTTACGCCGACCCGCAGCGGCAGAGCCCCACTGCCCGCGACGTCCCCTGCCCTGGCCCCTCTCCACGATGCACGCCGCGGCAGGCAGACCTGCTCACTGAGGTCTGGGCCGAACCCTTCGAGGGAGGCCCGGCTCTGCCGTCGGAGGGAGAAGGAGGCCCCGAGGCGAGGCCTGGCTGAGGTCTGGGCCGCCGGAGCGCCTGCCGGCCAGCCGGTGGGCAGCGCAGGCCGCATTGTGGCGCCCGCCGGCCACACCGCAGCCTGTCGCTCCCAGACGCTGGGGCAGAGGAGGCAAAGACCAGCCGTCAGCCCGTAAGTATTTCCAGCCACAGCCAACACGTCTTACTGGGCAATTTGCTTCTTAAAAAATTGCTCTCTGATTTTAAGTGAACAGCCCCTAATTAGAGTGATTTACAAGGTACCTGGGGACCGGGTGGTATTTGAACACGGCAGAGCCTAGCAGAGATTGATCAGCACTGCGTAATTCGGGGGCACGTTCTGGCAGCCGCATGACGTCCGCACCGCCTCGGGCGAGGACCCGGCCCCGGCCCCTCCGACGACGGAACCGGCAGGCGTGACCAGTGGCGGCTGGCCGGTCGCAAGCCGTCGGCTTTGCCTTGATGTGGGTTGAGATGAGAACGTGGCCCTGGTCACGCCTCCTTCCAGCCTGCCCCCGGCCCGGTGTCGCCATGTCCGTGGCGTCCTGGCGCGTCCGGGATGGGCCTCGCGCTGGCTCGTCTTCAGTTGTGCTGTTCCTCGAGACAGGGCTTCGGGGCTGCAGCCGCGAGGGACGTGTGATGCATGTAAACAAAGCATGGTCAGGGCCCCGCAGCCCACGGGGATCTGGGGAGGCACACGGAGAACGCCGTTCTTAGGCCCGAGCTGCCGGAAGACCACCTCCCATCCCAGGTGGGCAGCGGTCCTGGCCAGGGCCCCAGTGCAGTGGGCAGGGGTCCCCGGTTTAGGGGACGGCTGTCCCTCAGCCGCCGAGCCAGGAGCATGCATGGCCTCCCTCACCACCCCCCTGCCCTGTGTCGGCTTCTCGCCCCGACAGCTGCAGAGAATCAGCCCTCCTGACATTTAGGGGAAGAAATTCAGAATTGAGCAGAAGGCAGAAATGAAAGGATTTTCTTGGTAAAAGGTCAAGTGGTTTCTCTTACTTTTGTTTAAAAATGGTTTGTGTTGAACTGTGGAAAGGCCAAATGTAGGAGCGGACGAGGGAACAGGGTCGGGTGCTCGGGGAGGGGTGGGCACCCTAGGGAGGCGGCAGGGGAGCGTCTGGGCTGCGAACCAGACGGGGAGGTGGGCAGCGCCGGCACCGCGAGCTCTAACAGCTCCTCGGGGCTCATGGGGCGCGCCGTCCGAGGGGACGCCAGGCAGAGCCGGCTCCAGCTCTGGGGTCGCAGAGGGCGCCCGCCCGCCCCTCGGGGGCAGCTCCGGGCCTGGAACACGGGGGCCCGCACCTGCCAGGCTGGGCCGGGTCTGAGGCCCGCGGTGTGCAGGGGTGAGCGGGCAGCCCGCTGCAGCTGCTGGGGGAGGGTGGCGCCCGCCCGTGTATCTGCTGCGTCCTGAGCTAATGCTGGGACTTCTCCGCGCCCTTGCTGTTCTGCTTGCTCTGGATCAGTGACCGCATGTGAGCGCGGTGGTCTGTGCTTAGCACGTGTTCGAGGCGCATCTGTGGCAACGGGGGTCAGAGCCTCACTCTTCTGGTGGCCGAGTCCTATCCCGTTGGGGGCACCCCACATTTCGTTCACCTCTCCTCCGCGGTCGTTGTTCCCACTTCTTGGCTCGCAGAAATGGGAGTGCTTGTGGCCGGGCGTCTGTGTGGACCGAGGCCCCGTCCTCGCTGTGCACCCAGGGCCGCACCTGCCAGGCCGTATGTGTACCCTCGAGGAGCCGTCAGACGTTCTCACCGGCGGGGGCGCCACTTCCATTCCAGCAGCCGTGCGCAGGCCCTGCCACTCCGCGTCCTCGCCAGCACTGCCGCCCACCGTGGGCCGTGGCCGTGGCCGTGGCCGTGGTTTCGACTTGCCCTTCCCTGCACGCTGGTGATGCTGCGCGGGGTTTCACGTGCTCGTCGGACACCTGCGCGCGTTCTCTGGGCAAACACTCGTTAGGATCGTTTGCCTCCGTTGTAATTGGGGCGTTCGTCGTGCAGAGGCCGTGGACGCGGACCCCCGGAGCCGCGTGGGCTGAGAGCGAGTGTCCTGCAGGCGGGAGCCGCGGGCCATGGCCAGCCCCGGACAGCAGCCGGCGGTCGTCGGCTCTCTGCGCGCCGTCCAAGGGTCTTGGTACATCCGGGCCCCCGAGGCGGCACCAGGGAGCGGGCGGGTTGGGTCCCTGCGGAGAAGCCTTTTCTGGTGAGAGCTGTCCAGGAAGGGGGGTCCTCCGTCACCAGGAGTGGGGACTCTCCAGACTGGGGGGCAGCGTGGTCCCCAGCCCGGCCCTGGGCTGAGCAGGTTGCATGTGCAGAGTGGGAGGGAAGTTGTTTTTTGGGGTGCTGACCCTCAGTGACCCCACTCAGCTCCTGACACCCCTTCAGCCGCCCCGCCAGTGCTGCCCACCTCGCTGAATGGGGTTCAAGGGCCACAGGCTTCTGTCTCACAAACGCCCCCGTCTTCCCTGGCCCGTGCCCCCAGCTCACCCGGCAGGCAAGAGCCCTGAACACTCCCCCACCCCTGCTGGAGACGTTCCCAGGGGCCAGCATGGGCCCCAGGCGTTCCTGCTCACCTGGCTCAGCCCACTGGCAGGTGCGGCCCACGTCAGGGCAGGCAGGGTGCGGTCCGGGCTCAGGCAGCCTCCCCCTGCTTCTGGGAGTCTCCCGGGCACTGTGAGCCCCATGCCTAAGTGCTCAGGCAGCCTCGGGCCTCGTCCGCGCCCCCAGCTCAGAACCCCTAGCTGTCCTCCACCCCCTCCCCAGGAGCACCTGGCCCTGTGGCCCAGGCCCGGCTCTGCCCAGACCTGCCTTGCGACCCAGGGCGGGCCCCAGCTCCCGGGGCCTTGGTCTCCCCATTTGCACATGAGGGGACAGCCACGTGGTTTTGGGGAGCCCTGCCCTCGGTCCCACACAGTGCTTGGAGCTGAGGCATTTGGAGGTTTATCTCCGTCTCCATGGGATAGACTTGTCTTGCTCCACGGCCTCCACAGGCCCTGAAGCCGGGACCACACCCCCCTTTGTGCTCTCCAGGACTGCCCAGCCCCCCGGCACCCCACAGCCATTTCCTTCACGCCAGCAGAACTGCAGATTCCTGCTCCCTCACTGCACAGACAGGGAAACTGAGGCCCAGAGGGGCATTTTCAGCAAGGCCCACTGAGCGGGGTTAAGCCCAGCAGCGCTGCCAGTGGGAACCCCCTCCTTTCCGTGGCCAACGGGCTGTGATGGGGAAGAAATGGATGTGAACTTGAGTAGCAGCCCCGTGCCCGACCTGGATGGGAGATACCTCCCGGGGCGGGGGGGTGTGGACCCCCACCCCAGAGCGCCTCGCAGCCTTCCAGCACTGTTGGGGAGCGGGCAGGCCACCATCCTCGTGGCGGCTGGGGTCTGAGGATGGGGAAGGCTGGATGGGCCAACCGGGAGGAGCTGTGTTTTAGATTCCAGAAACGTGGGTGAGACCCCCGCCCGCGGGGAAGGGGAGACGCCCGGCCTTGCTGGGCATGGGGGCAACGCCGTGCCTGTCTGGCCCCCACCCGCACCGACCCTCCAGGGGCAACTTGGCCCAGCGCTCGTGGGACAGGGTCTCCGCGGCTCCCCCTGGGGGAGGGGATGGGGCACCCCCAGGCCACCACCACGCTGACCGCTGTCCTCCCTGTCTCCCGCCCACCTCGCAGGCCACGGGACCCTCGGGCGCCAAGATGCAGCTGCTGGAGACGGCGTTCTCACACTCGGTGCGGGAGCTCATCGAGCTGCACCTGCTGCGCCAGGACAGCATCCCGGCCTTCCTCAGCGCCCTCACCCTCGACCTCTTCAGCCGCCAGACCGTGGCCTAGCCTGCAGCCGTGCGCCCCGGCGGCGGCCGCACCTCAGCTCCACGGTGCACATGGGCAGCCGCCCCCATGCACCCAGCCCGGCCCGGGCCGCGTGCTGCCCCCTCTGCCCAGGACCCCTGCCAGCTGCCCGGGGGCCCAGCTGCCCGGGGGCCGCCCGCTCTGCAGGGCAGGGGCGCCGCCCTCCTCCTTCCCCAGGATGTGCAGTGCTGCTGCTCTGACCCGAGGCCTGGGGGCCGAGCCGTCCCAGCCCGCTTCCAGTCCCCACCCCGGCGTGGGCCCCCACCCACACACCGCTCAAACCCAGCCGTGTCGGGGGGCTGCCAGCCAACGTCCCTGCTCCCCCTGAAATAAATTTTGCTCCTTGGCCACCCTGCCCGGCTCGCTGTGTGTGTCTGAGCTGACAGGCTCGCTCTGCCGACCCTCCGTTTGGCCCCAGGGCAGCCCCTGGACACCAGGGGACAGTGGGTGGCGGCCCAGCGGCCACCATCACTAGCAGATGAAAGAGAGGAGGTGCTCAGGTGGAGCAGAGAGGTGAAGGCACCTCCCCGACTCCAGACTTGGGTCGCCCGCCTGCCAAATGGACCGATCTGCTGCCTCGGAGGCCGGCCAGGGAGGCGGCTCCGAGCACCCCCACATAAGTGCTGGCGGCAAGGACTGGGTGGGCTTGTCATGGGGGTGGGGGTCTCCCGAAACCCCAGGCCCCATGGGAGAGGCCAGCGGTTCCACAGTCCCACCCTCCTTGGTTTGGTGCCCTCGGGACGAGCAGCGTGCACACACCCGGGCACTCAGGGCTGAGGTTCCTGCAGGCCAGGCTGGGGCACGGGGACGGGGGCTGCCTGCATGGGAAGGGGCCCACATTGCACATGCAGGAGGGACTTCGGCCTCTGTGCTCATAGCTCGGGGCCTGAGGGGGGCCCGCTGACCGGGGGCCTAGGAGCTCGGGGATGCCTGGGGTGGTGGTCTGTGCCCCCCGCCCCCCGCACGGGAGGTTGGGGGCACAGAAGACGGATTGCCTGGGGTGGGAGGCCGGAGCCCCACCTCATTGACATGCGCAGCTCCGCACGCCAGGCCTGTCACCAGTCATGGGGAAAATGAGTCCTGACGTCAGCCGCCCCATGCGTCTGCATCGGTGGTGCCAGCCCGTGGCCGGGCAGCCTCACCGCGGGCGCGGAGATCACGTCGTGCAGTGAGCCCGCTATCTGAGCCCGGCAGAGCTGGGGGGAGCAGCTCAGCGAGCTGGCTCTGCCAACAGTGGGTCCCGAGGCCACTGGCGGTGGGGGGTGGGGCCGGCCTAGGTCCGCCTGCTCCCTAGAGCCCAGGGAGAGTGTGCCCTGCATGTCACCTCCAGGCGCACGCCCTGGGGGGGCTCCGGCTACACCCCCCACACCCTGGCCCCCCAACCCCCACATCCCCGAGCCCCCACGCCCAGCAAAGCTGAATGAGGCTGGGGCCGCTCCGCTCCGGAGCTTGGACCATGGACGTGTGCCTCAGAGACAGGGCCTGGCCAGGCCCCGGGGTCACCACCAAGGTCAGCCGCAGGGCCACCAGGCTCTCCTGCTAGGACCCCGAGTCCTCTGGCTCCTTTGATATCGGTACGGCTGGGGTGGGGGGGACCTTTGCTGTTTCCACTCCGCAGATGAGAAAACAGGCCGGTGTGGTCAAGTGGCTTCCAGGGCCGTGAGCCAGTTGGCACGGGGACTCTGGCCCAGCGCGGGGGGCTTTCTGCCCTCCACAGCCTGAGGTGAGCTCAGGGGTCCCAGCACCAGGTGCTGCGAGCCCCCAGCGTGCTCGCGTCCTGTCTCACGGACGGCACTCAAAACCCCGCTATGTTAGAGCCAGGGGAGCCCCCAGAGGAGCTCCTTGCGGGGAATGGGGAGGAAGCTCCTGGGGGTGCAGGCTTCAGAGTGGACTCGTCCACGCAGACCATCGTGAGCAGACGTTGTGTGTCAGGCTCGGTTCTGGGCGCTGGGAACACATCGGCCTGAGCCGAGTGCCTGATCTCTCGTCCTGCACCATCAGAAGCCTTCAGGGAGGCGTGGGTGGGGCGGGGGCTGAGACCCTGCACGCGTGCAGGTCTATACACATGGGCGCCATCCCAGCCTGCAGACAGCCACTGTCCAGGGCGGTGGGAGGGGGGCTGGTTCTTGCCGAGATGGCTTAGGAAGTGGGGTCCAGCTGGGCCCCGGCAGCAGGTGGGACCTCAAGGGACAGGCCGGAAGGCCAGGGGAGTCCTGGCTGGTGGGCCACAATAGAAGCTCTTCACCTCTGCCCAGTGGGCGATAGGGAACAGTGAGCACCAGGGCCCGGGGTCCCGGTGGGATGCCCCCCGAAGGGCACTGTTGGTTACAATGCCAACCTGGGCAAGAGAGGAATGTTCTGGAAGGATCTGGGTCGGGGCTGAGGAATTGGGCTGCATCGTGCCACAGTTCCTCCTCCCACTGGTGGACACATGGCCCCGTGGCCACCACCTACCCACTGCCTGACACGCCATGAGGCCCCCCCAGCTGCAGGACTCCAATACCATCTCTGTCCTGGATTCCCGACCCATCCCCGAGGCTTTCGTCACCTCTCCAGTTAGGGTCCCGGCTAGCTCTCGGATCGGCGGAGCCTGGGCCGCCCGCCCGCCGTCCCCGCTTCTGTAGGAGGGCAGGGTGGGGGCCAGGCAGCTAAAATCCAGCCAAGGCCCTCCCTCGGGTCCAGACGCCCAGACGTGGGCCTCATCCCTGCCACAGCCCCCAGCTTCCTCGCTCCACAGAGAGAGGGTCTCCGAGGCCCCTTCCAGCTGGAGAGCCCACCGGGGCCCGGCCCAACCACCCAGCGCCGACACAGGGCCAGCCGGCGGTGGACGCTCCCTGTGTTCCATGGCGGGGTTTTCCTCTCCAGAGGAAGCATGCAGGTGCAGGTGAGGCCCGCCCTCCCGGGTGGGACGGGCAGCACGGTTCCCACCAGCACCCCCAGCCCCGGGCTGACTCAGGCACCTGCTGCTGGAGTTGGTCCAGGCCCCTTGGGGCCGCCCGCCCAGGGAGCCAGGGAGGTGCAGACAGCACACGAAAGTTCTGGTTGTTTCTGGCAGATCCCTACTTCTGCCAACTCATTAGTGGGCACCCGACGCTAAATGGTTCTTAAGCCACTAATGACTAATTTTAAGGGATTAGTGCCACAGCGATAAACTCTAATTGCCAGGTTATAACAGGATTGGAGGGCGACAGGGCTCCTTCCAGCTTCCCGGAGGCTCCAAGGAGGACAGCGCCGCCTGCTGGGGCCTCTGCGGGACCCCCACCCCCACCCGCACCCAGCCTGGCACTGCAACCGCGTCCGTGCATGGGGACCCACAGCAGCAGCCCCGGGAGCCCGTTAGGGATGCCTGGACCAACCCAGTCGGAATCTGCATTTGACCCGAGGCTGCGAAGCCCACAAACTTCCCTCCCGCCTGTGAGTTCCTCCTGGTCCCGTAGTGGCGCTGGGTCCAGAAAGGGCAGGGACCTGCCTCGGGTCACATGCCCAGCCCTCCCGACCAGGCTCCGCAAGACCCCAGCTCCTGGGTCCAACTTGGCCCATTTCCCTCACGGTTAAACGTCCGCAGGACGCCAGAGCCAAGCAAGTCCAGGCGTGTGGACATACGGGACTGCGTGTCCGTGCCCGTGTGCACGTGTGTGCGTGTGCTGTGTCCGTGCGTGCGCTCACAGTGAGGACACCGGGCTTGTCCAAACTGCTTCCCTTCCTGCTCCAGACCAGAGACGGGCAGGGCCTTGCCCCAAATCACACAGCACGAGGGCCGGTGATGGAGCGCGGGTCCGAGAGCAGCCGCCACTCGTCTGGTTGAGGAGATTTTCAACGTAAAGAAAAACCACCCTTCAGCCCGTCCCAGCCCCTTCCGTCCGTGGATGGACGTGCACGCCTAACGTACGGACACACAGAAGTACGCTGGATTCGGGGGGTTTGCACAGTAGCTGCGGATTGTTCTGAAGCCTCGCTGTTCTCACCGAATCGTCTTGGAGGTTTTCCACGGAAGCATCTACTGATGCATTTCACTGGCGTTGCGCTGTTGTTCTTCCTAAAACACTTAGGAAGTTTTATTGAAAACAATAATGCACAGAAACACCCGAGTCTCATCTTAAAGTAAAGTTGACAGCATTTCTCAGAACAGTCAGAGTTCTCAGCCATTTTGGTCATTGTTTTAAAAAACAAAAGCCAAAACAAACCAAACCAAATTAACAAGTATGTCTTGCTCGTAAACCTTCTTCTTATGGTTCTGGTCCCCGCTGTATGCACGGCTCCAGATTTCCCAAATGTACCTTTATTTTTTTTTTTTTTAAGATTTTATTAATTCATTTGAGACACAGAGATACAGAGACAGAGAGAGAGCATGAGCAGGGAGAGAGGGAGAGGGAGAAGCCGGCTCCCCGCCGAGCAGGGAGCCCGATGTGGGACTCAATCCCAGGACCCTGGGATCATAACCTGAGCCGAAGGCAGACGCTTAACCGACTGAGCCACCCAGGCGCCCCTCAAATGTACCTTTTCAAGAATGAGGGTAGTACTGGGGGGTTTCTAACCGGTGACTGTCTCTGAGACCTGGACTCCTCGGGCGCCTTGGACCCGCCAGTCCCATCGCGTCTTGCCGCCCCGCATCTCACCTGGCCCACCTCCGTGAGGGGCTGAGTTGTGTTCCCCAGATCCACAGGTTCAAGCCCCAGGACCTCGGAACGTGATGTATTTGGAGAAGGGGGTTAAGGTAAAGTGAGGTCACGCGGACTGGGGTCCTAGAAGAGGAGGAGACACGCACAGGGGCACGACCACACGAGGACACGGAGAACTCGGCGTCTGCACACCACAGAGAGAGGCCTCAGGAGGAACCAGCCCCATGCACACCTTGAGCTTGGACTCCCAGCCCCCGGGACGTGAGAGAGAATTTCCGTTTAAGCCCCACCCCCATGGGATTTGCTGCAGCAACACCCTCATCCCCTTCCCCTGCACTATTCCTCCTGCGGCCCCTCTCGGCCCCTGGCCTCGTCGTCACGCATACTTCATTGACCACACACAGGCGGTACGTCCGTCCTCGGCCCCACGGCACGCGCATCCTCCACCAGGCGCGTGTCTTCTCGGGAACCCACAGAAATAACACGCAAACCACACACGCGTGCTTTGAACTTGTTCAGTAGCCACATTGAAAAAGTAAGAAGAGGGTGCCTGGGTGGCTCAGTTGGTTAAGCACTGCCTTCGGCTCGGGTCATGATACTGGAGTCCCGGGGTCGAGTCCCGCATCGGGCTCCCTGCTCGGCGGGGAGTCTGCTTCTCCCGCTGACCCTCCCCCCTCTCATGCTCTCTCTATCTCATTCTCTCTCAAATAAATGAAAAAGTAAGAAGAAACAGG